CTGCTCATTGTCCTAATAGACTTCAATTGCTGGGGAGGAAGGAGCCAAGGGCTGAGAAAGAGCAGACAGCCAGTCCTCTTCCAATAAGGTGCTAGAAATTCCTGTTCCTGGAACATAGAGGGTCTTTAAAAAAAGGAAACACTTATTTTGCAACTGTATTCCTGAAATCTGCTGCTAGTAAAGTGGAACAGTTTTCACTGGATTACCATTTACTGACTCATTTACATGAGGCATCAGGGGGGTTCACATTGCTGGCTATGGGACTGTATCATTAAACATCATTTTTATATCTATTTTCCCACTGATTTCATCCCTTATGACACTCACTGTTATTTTTCACGTCTTATTATAAGATATGAGGGCAGTTCCCAGCTCTACAGTAGAGAAAAGCTTCCCCATTACCCAGATGGCAGACCGCTGGACATGGTGCTAGAAATACATAAGCGTTCACAGAGCTTTCTCCCTGGAGGAAAAGAAAAACACCATTCATATTTCTGCTCTTTATACTCTGGGAAGATTGTGTGAAAGCACTGGCTCGGCTTTATGATGGAAATCAAAATACAGTCAGCCAGTCTATAAAAATACTGGGGATGGTAAATGACAGAGTGGAACCTATATTTGCCTTTCTAATACAATAAATGCAGATTTAAAACGGACTTGGGTGATTATATTATAGCTTCTTCTAAGATATTAGAAATATATTAATCTGTAATCATTATGTAACGTTTGAACAATTGAGAAAGGAAAGAAAGAAAGAAAGAAAGAAAGAAAGAAGAAAGAAAGAAAGAAAGAAAGAAAGAAAGAAAAAAAAAGAAAGAAAAAAAGAAAGAAAGAAAGAAAGAAAGAAAGAAAGAAAGAAAGAAAGAAAGAAAGAAAGAAAGAAAGAAAGAAAGAAAGAAAGAATGTCATCTGTCTGTTTTTTTTTTTAATTCTGAGAAATCCTGACTCAAGAAGCCTTACACAAGGAGAAGGTTATTTATTTATAGCCATGTGACTGTAATTTTCAAATCTCATTGGGTAATGCTGAAACTGTCACTTATTTTGAAAATAATTATTCTTATCTAGGTGTTTTATTTAGCTTTGTGAATTGAGCAAGTGAAAATTGAGGGATAGATGCATACTAATATATATATATATACGAAATATATATGTCTATGTATATATATATATATATATACTATTATTATAATAGTAATATATATAAATATATATTTTTTTCTACTATTATAATAATTATTATACATATGCATGTATTTTTATCTAACACGTGCAAATATAAATAAAAAAATAAAAATCACACAAGCATTAAGGTAAGATCTGCATTACAATCAAACTAAGAAGGAAACTTTTTTTTTATCTTGTAGGTATGTGTAGGCAGTAAATGTTTTTAAATATAGTATTATACAGGATTTATATATGAACAATGCCAATTACCTTGCTGTGCCAGAGTTGGTAAAAGACCAGAAGCGAGTCAAATTAGATGTTTGATGCAGTCAGCTCACCACAAATTCGCTATTTCAGGAATCTGAAGAAAATAAATACAAAGAAATATTAATATTTATGACTAACAGTAAAAAGTGAAGAAGTAAGAATCTTCAGAAATCCAGCAATACAGTCCTTGAGGGGTGAACAGACTATCTCCACCAGGAAAAGACAAGAAAGAAAAGTTCTTCAGAGATAAGTGGAAATAAAAAGGACAGTTATGGCACTCAATGACACATAAAGTGTATATATCTTAGAAGAATGACAATTTCTATGTCAAAAAAATATATAAAAGAAAAAAATAGAAATGATGGATCCTCTGATGAATTATGCAACAAAGGAAGAAATAACTAAAAGCATACTTAATTATCGGGTGATAGAAATGGTGAGAGCTATATGGTGCTGCTGAGAGTTCCCTCTGGAACACTAATACAATGCACGATACTCTTGTCCTTGTTTGTTTGCAGATGTATATCTTTGTTCACACTTTGTGCATCATCCTTGTTCATCTGGTGCATCAGTACCATAAACCATTAGCTCCGGCTTTCCTTTCATCTTGAAGGTGGCGGACGTTGCTATTTATCCAGCAGCAATCAATGAGTGGCGTCAGCAGTGGTACTGTAATGACGATTGCACCATTAAGGATGACAGCTTAGAAAGAAGAGGGCAATGGTGATCCCTCCCAGAGCCAGTACAGCACAGAAGAGTGCAGGCAGCACAGGGTCAGCTCCATCTCTCTATTGCTCATCTGCCTGTCGCTGCTGCCAGCACTAGTCCTCCCTGGCTGACTCAGAGACACAATGGAAGCCAGAAAGGAGATGGTCATGTTCCTGGAGGGAGGTCAACTTGGCACTCTAGTTGGCAAGAGAATGTCTAATTTGTCGGACACAGTAGGAAGCCCCATTCAGGAGCCGCAGGAGAAAATGCATGCTAGAAGTTGCCTGAGCCCTAGATCTGGCCCCTTGGCAGCCAGAGAGAGAGCGGAGGAGGAGGTGGAAGTTGTCTCAGGGACAGGAGCGGCCAGCAGATCGCCAGCGCTGCGCCTCTCCTCTCCCCATCCCGACTCCTTATCTGGGAAAGGACAGCACAGCGGCTCCGACACCGAGTCGGATTTCTATGAGGAGATAGAAGTCAGCTGCACCCCGGACTGCACGACGGCCAGCAGCGACTACCAACACAGCAAAGGTGCGGGTCACAGCCTCCATTCCTACTACCTATCTACATCCATCTATATCTATCTATCTATCTATCTATCTATCTATCTATCTATCTATCTATCTATCTATCTACCTGTCTATCTATCTTTATCCATTAATTCAATTACTATATATATATATAATCTATTTGTCTGTCTCTATCTGTTATCTAATCATCATATATATAGTTTATCTGCCCATTCATCTTTTATTCTTCCCTTCTTTAATCTATCTATCTATCTATCTATCTATCTATCTATCTATCTATTTATTACGTTTATACACATATAACAGTATGTCTATGTAACAAACTATCTAATTTATCTATGTATGTATGTATGTATCTATCTACATATCTATCTATCTATCTATCTATCTATCTATCTATCTATCTATCTACATATCTATCTATCTATCTATCTATCTATTTATCTATCTATCTATCTACTATCTGTCTATCTATCTGTCTATCTATCTTTATCCATTAATTAAATTACTATATATATATATATATATATATATAATCTATTTGTCTGTCTCTATCTGTTATCTAATCATCATATATATAGTTTATCTGCCCATTCATCTTTTATTCTTCCCTTCTTTAATCTATCTATCTATCTATCTATCTATCTATCTATCTATCTATTTATTACGTTTATACACATATAACAGTATGTCTATGTAACAAACTATCTAATTTATCTATGTATGTATGTATCTATCTACATATCTATCTATCTATCTATCTATCTATCTATCTATCTATCTATCTATCTATCTATCTATCTATCTGTCAATCTATCATTTATTCATTTCATTTATTCAGTTATTGCCCATGTTTATACAGTCTCTCTCTTCTCTCTCTCTATCTATCTATCTATCTATCTATCTATCTATCTATTGATCTAATACTTCATTTATTTGGTTGCTGTTCATGATATTGATTTTTATATATATATATATATATATATATATATATATATATAAAAACTTCATTTAATGTTTATATATGATATTCATCTTTTTTAAATATAGATAAGATTTTTGTGGTTACATTATGTTGGTAAATGCTTCAGATGCAATTGAAAGCTTAGTTGTGTCCAGCTGTGCATGCTGATTCTATAGTAAGAAATGATTTCCAGAGATATTGAGGTTGCTCATATACCTCCAGGGCCATGCCACCATCCTCTGTGCACATGAAAGCCTTCCAAAGATTTCATTTTTGTTTCTGAATATTAGAATGGATGTCTGTTAAGACGATTTTAGGCACCCAATATAACAAATCAGTGTGGTGCCGGGGCCTGAGAGCATGCTGGCCTCTGTAGGTTGTTTGACACCTTGGTCTGTGTCAGAGATCAAAGGTTAGAATGAGGAAGCTCGTCTGGGCCGTTGTGTATAGGTAACCATAAAGACAATGCCATGGGGTTTGGAGTCTCCTGCCTGCCTAGGTGCTGCTTTGCATGCCCCTCCTCACACACCCCAAGCAGCCCATGACTTTCACAAGTAGCTGGCGCCAGCTCACAAATTGTCTCTGGGATGTTAAAGGAGGCTCAGGTGTCCGACACAAAAAGCCCAGGCTGCATTTGAAAGGACACCAGTCGGATGACCCTCCTATAGCCCAGGCGTGACTTTGAGGAGCCCAGGTAGACTTCACACCTTGCTAACTCCGACCCATCAATAGGCAACTTACAAATGTCCTTTGTGTAGACCAGCAACCATTCTGAAGGCATTTTTTAATTCGGATGGCCATTTTACCGTCTGTGAGAACACATAGCTGTGCAGTGTCCATCTGCTTTCTATCTACAAGCTGCTCCAGTATAATGGACATGTATCTTCATTACAAGATATCTATTCGGGTTGTCGTAATCCATAATTTATTGGACAGCAGATAGATTGCTGAATTGCATGGTCGCCTGGACAGATTAGTGTGAAATTGGTACATGCACGGTAATTTAGGGGTTACGACCGATGGTGGCTCTTATAGTTCCACGTAGACCTGTCATTGCTGCTCGACTGCTTGGGGACCATCTCCCATCCATCCCTTCCAGTGCCAGATGACCCGGGGGTCTAGAAAAAGGTGTATTTTCCAATCTTGTTTTGTAGAATTGTGCAGTTTAGTTCTACTAGCACATTTATTAAAATTAGATACCTCTGGTAATAAAGTCGAATGGTAACATTTATATTTGGAGTTGAATGACAGCTTTGGTGTCCATGAATGGTAAAGAGGGTCTGCTTGTAAAAGTGCCACCAAGGCTTGGCCAGGTCATGAATGGAGTTAATGACTTGTGTTCCTTCTGTGCAGGACACTGCTCGGACAGCATGGGGGGCAGCCCTGTCCAGAATGGCAGCGATCCATCCAAAGGAAGCAGCGGGTCTCAGAGCTCTCTGTCCTGTGCTGGGGACCAGATGCGCAGATACAGGACAGCCTTCACCAGGGAGCAGATAGCACGTCTGGAGAAGGAATTCTACCGGGAGAACTATGTGTCAAGGCCCAGGAGGTGCGAACTGGCCGCAGCCTTGAACCTGCCAGAGACCACCATCAAGGTAATATTCCAGCCTTGGGGTCTTGGTCCATGTATTTTAAACTGCCAGGGACCACTGCAAGGTATTATTCCAGCTTGAGGGTCTTGGTCATGTAATTTAACCTGCCAGAGACCACTCCCAAGGTATTATTCCATCCTGGGGATTTTGGTCAACAAAGTCTAACCTGCCAGACATCACTATCAAGGTATTATTCGATCCTGGGGGTCTAGGTTCATTTATTTTAACCTGCCAGAGACCACTCTCAGTGTATTATTCCAGGTTGAGGTTCTTGGTCCATGTATTTTACCCTGCAAGAGACTACTATCAAAGTATTATTCTATCTTAGGAGTTTTGGTCCACAAAGTTTAACCTTCCAGAAACCACCATCAAGGTATTTTTCCAGCCTTGGGGTCTTGGTCCATGTATCAACCTGCCAGGATCACCATAAAGATTCTGGTCCACATATATCAACTTGTTAGAAATCATGTATTATTCCTGCCTGGGGGTTCTGGTCCATGTATTGTAACCTGCCAGAAACCACCATAAAGATGTTATTCCAGCCCGGGGTGGGGGCTTATTCCATGTTTTTAACCTGTCAGAGAACCTGTCAGAGACCGCCATCAAGGTTTTATTCCAGCTCGGGTGTCTTGATCAACATATTTTAACCTGCTGGAGACCACCATCAAGGTATTATTCCAGCATGGGGGTCCTGGTCCGTGTATTTTAGCCTGCCATAGACCACCATAGAGGTATTATTTCAGCCTGGGGGGTTTTGATCCAGGTATTTAACCTGTCAGAGACCACCATCAAGGTTTTATTCCAGCTTGGGTGTCTTGATCCACAAATTTTAACCTGCTGAAGACCACCATCAAGGTATTATTCCAACATGGGGGCCCTGGTTCATGCATTTTAGCCTGCCAGAAACCATCATAAAGGTATTATTCCAGCCTGGGGGTCTTGGTCCATGTATTTAACCTGTCAGGGACCATCATCAAGGTTTTATTCCAGCAGGGAGGTCCTGGTCCATATATTATAACCTGCCAGAGACCACTGTCAATGTACTATTGCAGCCTGGGGGTCTTGGCCTATGTATTTAACCTGTCGGGGGCTATCATCAAGGTTTTATTCCGGCAAGGGGGTCTTGGTCTATGTATTTTAGCCTGCCAGAGGCCACCATAAATGTATTATTCCAGCCTGGGGGTTCCTGATCCATATATTTAGCCTGCCAGAGACCACTATCAAGGTTGTTTCAAGCCTGGAGGGCTTGGTCAATGTATTTTAGCCTGCCAGAGGCCACCATAAATGTATTATTCCAGCCTGGGGGTTCCACTATCAAGGTTTTTTCAAGCCTGGAGGGCTTGGTCAATGTATTTTAACCTGCTTGAGATCACTATCATGGTGTTAATCCTGCAATGGGGTCTTGGTCCACAGATTTTAACCTGACTGAAATCAGTATCAAGGTATTATTCCAGCTTAGGTGTCCAGTTATTTTTGAACAGTTTAATATCATGTCACTTCATTTGAGCTAGAGTTCTGTTTTTTTTTTTTTTTTGTGATATTAAATTATTTTCTAATGTTTGTTAGATTAAGATGTTCCTCCACATTTATTATTGTTCTGAAGGTTGACCTGATCCTAAATATATTCTTTTCTGTTCACAGGTGTGGTTTCAGAACAGAAGAATGAAAGACAAGCGACAGCGGTTGGCAATGACCTGGCCTCACCCAGCAGACCCAGCCTTTTACACCTACATGATGAGCCATGCAGCTGCCACTGGCAATCTACCTTACCCCTTCCCATCTCACCTACCTCTTCCTTACTACTCTCACATGGGTCTTGGCACCACTTCACCCTCAGCTGCCAATCCTTTCAGCTCACCACTAAGACCACTGGATACCTTCAGAGTCCTCTCTCACCCTTACCCTAGACCAGAACTCCTATGTGCATTCCGACATCCATCCATCTATGCCACACCTGCCCATGGACTTGGTGCTGGGGGTAACCCTTGCTCCTGTTTAGCATGCCACTCCAGCTCTTCCAATGGGCTAGCGCAAAGGCCTGCAGGCTCTGACTTTACCTGCTCCTCCTCTACAAGATCAGACTCCTTTCTGACTTTCACCCCTTCAGTCCTGAGCAAATCATCTGTCTCCCTAGACCAGAGAGAGGAGGTACCACTGACCAGATAAGATGTACCCACCCTCTCCCCCTGACTGAACTACCTATCTTGCCAATGTCTTTTTGGGCACCCTGTCAAGAGGTGGCATTCCAGGACCTTTCAGGTTATCACAAGCTTTCTCCTCCAGATCAATGACTTTACTATAAAATTAGCTCATTATCTTCAAGAAGACAAAGGACTACTTTTAAAGAATGAATATTTTATAGGCATTGCCACACTTTTGTTTATTCTATGTTGGTAACAAAATGGCAGACGTGTAGATTTTAGGATTACCTTGCTGGGATACTTGAATATTAAGTTAACACAGAACAATAAGGTCATTAATGTGTTTTTTCCCTAAATGTACAAAATACATTTTAAATATCAACAAAACACAGTATTAAGATGTTACATTGTTATATTGCAATGTACCTGTCTCTTTACCCAACCACCAATTTATGACACCTTCTATGAATGGTTCTTACGTCAGAAATTCACAGTTTTTGTGTTTTAAACTCATATTTTTTATAATTTGAATTTTTGATTAAACACTGGGCTTGGGGTTATGTCTGAGCCGTGCAGAAAATTACAATATTTGTATAAGGAATGGCAATGGTTTATCCTCAGCTGCTGAAAAGTGAGCACACTGATTAAATTATCAAGTGATGTATATGTAAGGGGGATCTTTCTGGATGTATAATAATTTTCCCAGAGTGCAAACCTTCTGCTAGTCCTTAACAAGCCGCATAGGGAAGGGATTATGTCGCCAAAGCTCTGCAGACAGGCGCCCACCTCTGCAAATTAGTGTACAGGCACACTGTTAACAGTCTCCAACCATTATGCTTGTGTACAAATCTTCACCAAACCACAAGGAGGGTTTTCGTTTATACTTTTAATTCTATTTATATTTTTTATATCTATGTTGTGGTCCATACTTGATGATCAGGGATGTTCAGTTTACATGTCATTTGTTTATTTATATTTGCTTTTGTTGCACATGTGAAGCTCAAATGGAAATGTCTACCTGTCTAACGTGTCCTTTGACGTCTTTCAGGAATGGGTAGAGCGTTCCTTTGCCAAGAATGTTTTTGTTTGTTTGTTTTTATTTTTTGGTTTTGTTTTCTTTATTTGTAAAATTGATTTTCAGCACCGTCCAAAATTATAACAATAACAACTACATAATAAACACTGTTACAATAATCTGCTGAAATTCGCAATAAAATTAATCACAAGGACAAATTGCTATCCTTTTTCTAAAAGATCTCACCGATCTTAATGGAATATTATGATTTATTTTTTTAGAGGGTGGTTTTAAGTTAGTTGTAATACACTGATGAATTCACTTACCTGTACATGTTTTCATAATACCATATATATATATATATATATATATATATATATATATATATATATATATATATATATATATATATAATTTTGTCTGTAGCAATCTGGCTTCAGACTTTACAAATTACAGCCAAAAAGGTAAATTTGAATACAGACTTTCCTATAAAAAAATGGAATAGAAACTAAGTAGATATAGCTTTCCTTTTCTTGTCAGTTTTCCAGTGCTGGTGCATTGTATGTAAATCCCCGACATGGTAGAAAGTCACATGTGGGGTGGAGGGCTTGGATCAGTAATATTCCGCAATGAATGAGTAATATTCCACAATGAATGTAATTCAATACATTTGATACCGAAATACTGCAAAACATTATCTAAATAGTGAACTGCTGCATGTTCGATCGTTTCTTGGTGACAGGTTTCCTTTAAATTTGAAATATTATACAATTTAGGAAAATTACAAGCTTCCAGATTAGCATTACTGTGTAATTGTATCTTTTATAACATTACAAAAATATATATATTTTTTGGGGGGGCTTTATTTAGCAAAACAGTGATGTACTATCATTCATATTAACCAGTCGCCGTTCGCTGGTTCTACAGTACACTGATGCAGTAACCCATAAAATCCAATCATATGTCATCTGCTTACAGTAGACAGAACAATGCCAGATGATGGCTGATAAGTAGAGGTTACTTGTATAGGATAGAAAGAGCAGTGTTTGTTGATTGGTTGCTATGGGATACCATACTTGAGATAAGCAGAATAATGATGGATGATTGTTGATTGGCTGCTATGGGATACTACGCAATTTGGTTGGTTGATATGCTACACTTAAGCAGAACAATGACAGATGGTGGTTGGTTGATGTGGGATGCTACACTTTATATAACATTAAGCAGAATAATGACAGATGATGGTTGGTTGATGTGGGATGCTACACTTAAGCAGAATATATAACATTAACAGAATAAGCAGAATAATGACAGATGATGGTTGATTGTGTGTTTTGGGATATTACACACTGGGGTTGATTTACTAAAATTGGAGAGTGCAAAATCTGGTGCAAGACTGCATGGTAGCCAATCAGCTTCTAACTTCAGCTTGTTCAGTTAAGCTTTGACAATAAAACCTGGAAGTTGATTGGCTACCAAGCACAGCTGCATCTGATTTTGCACTCTCCAGTTTTAGTAAATCAACCATTTTATGTATCTTAAAACTAATATTAACAGATGATGGTTGGATGGTTGTTATGGGATACTATGCTATGGTTGAGAGTTACTAAATCCAGTGCACACAGAATCTGGTGGAGCTGTGCATAGTAGCCAATCAGCTTCCAACTTCAGCTTGTTCAATTAAGCTTTGACAATAAAAACTGGAAGCTGATTGGTTACTATGCATAGATGCACTAGATTCGGTGTGCACCGGTTTTAGGAAATGTCCCCATTTATATAACTTAAGATGAACAATGACATGCATTGTTAATTGGTTGCTCTTCCATAATACACTTGTATAGGAAAAGCAGAGCAAAGAGAGATGACTGCTGATTGGCTCCTATGGGATAATACACTTTGTTCAGAACAGGCAGAGCAATGAGTGGTGACTGCTGATTGGTTACTATGGGATAATGCACTTTGTACAGAATAGGCAGAGCAATGAGAGATGACTGCTGATTGGTTACTAAGGGATAATGCACTTTGTGCAGAATGGGCAGAGCAATGAGAGATGACTGCTGATTGGTTACTATGGGATAATACACTTTGTTCAGAATAGGCAGAGCAATGAGAGATGACTGCTGATTGGTTACTATGGGATAATACACTTTGTTCAGAACTGTCTGCTGATTGGTTACTATGGGATAATACACTTTGTTCAGAATGGGCAGAGCAATGAGAGATGTCTGATGATTGGTTACTATGGGATAATACACTTTGTTCAGAATAGGCAGAGCAATGAGTGGTGACTGCTGATTGGTTACTATGGGATAATACACTTTGTTCAGAATAGGCAGAGCAATGAGTGGTGACTGCTGATTGGTTACTATGGGATAATACACTTTGTTCAGAACAGGCAGAGCAATGAGTGGTGACTGCTGATTGGTTACTATGGGATAATACACTTTGTTCAGAACAGGCAGAGCAATGAGTGGTGATTGCTGATTGGTTACTATGGGATAATACACTTTGTTCAGAATAGACAAAACAATGAGAAATGATTGCTGATCGATGTCTGCACAGATAATGCAAAACAAAGACAGATTCCTGCTAATTGTTTTTGTTGTTGCTTACAACACTTTATATAAACAGAACAATCAAGAATGATTGCTATATGTATGTTATAGGTTATTACACCTTATAAAGGCTAAACACGGCCTTTAGAGAGGTGTATGATTGGTTGCTGTGGGTTACTTCATTATGTACATAGCTCCTTACCTTACTAAATAAGCCTGACAGCCTCATAAAGCACAGAGAAGGAGAAGAAGATAGGCTGAAAGGCTTTCCTGCAGCTAAATAGCTCATGGCAGGTGAATCGGCTTGCTGCAGGTGGCTGGAAAGCAGACAGGACTTGGGTTTAACAAGGAGGTAAATGAGATGTCCGAAACAATATTAGCAGATATAAGATCAATGATAAGCTCTAGTGTCCACTCCGAAACATTTAATTGCCTGTATTTCCTGGGTAATTGTTCCAGGATCATGAAACTGAACATGTTTCAGACATTCTTGTATGGAGCTGGCTTGTCCTGCTATTACCCATCCCTCTATATCACCCATTCCCTATAGCATGTGAACGAATCAGTAACCCTCAACACATTGCTTCTTCCTATGGCAGTCATTTGGAAAAGGTATTAGAGGGAGAAAGCGCTTTAGTCGCATTATGCGGCTTATTTCCAGCAGAAGAAGCTGTGTTGGCCTCTGCAAGGATGAGGAGAATCTGGTTAAGTACTTGTAGAGATCCCAGAGGATGCTGTGTTCATACAAGGCAGAGCCCAGTCCCCGACATCCCCTGGTTGTTAGTATGTGATTGATTGCCTTATTAAAGCGTGTTCTTGTAAGTGTGACCAAACTGATTGCAAACTACATGTTTAGAAGAAAAGCTCTATGCTAACAGCCGAGGAAAAAAGGGAGGGAGGATATGAATAGCTGGTTAATAATTTATCATCCCACTGGAGATCTGGTTAACTAAATTTACACGGTGTACAGGAAAGTTTCTGGGTGTAATCAGTCATGCCTTCATCTGCTCTTCGACTTCGTGTCAAATTAGAGGAGAAATCTGCTGGTTAGTGCGGAGGGCCATCATTGGGTGGGTGGCAAGTGACCTGCAGGGTGACAACGCTTAGGAGGTTATTTACATGGTGCAAAATGTAATGCAGCTCTGCACAGAAACCAATCAGCTTTCAGATTTTATTGTCAAAGCTAAATTGAACAAGCTGAAGTTAGAAGCTGATTGGCTACTATGC